CCCCCCCCCCGCGCATTGAGCACATTCTCACGATAGATCAACGCATTTGCTTAGTGAACGGACTCGCACCCGATTAAAATGCACGTGGTACTCGTAAACTGTTATGAACCCTGAACTTTGACCGTCTCTTACTCGTGTTCATTAATCTATTGTGGAAACGTCTGCGTACGCATATAGTATTTGAAACATGGGTGGCCACACACCATCGTCTAATGTGGATATGTATGTACGTTCGCTTATACGCTATTTCGCAATAGACGGACTGCATGATATCTACATTCTTTACTACCTAAATAAAATTCACTGTGGCTGTCACATGCAAGGGACCTATTTTGAAGCGAAGCAATGGTGTTCACTATCCATCGCAGTCAACATCTATCTGGGTCATCTCGTCTCACAACATTTAATAAAAAAACAGGCTAATGACTACTCGGATGAAGCCTCGCGAAGAGATTGCTCCCCGATGTAGCATGGTTGCTTTTGCGTCCTCATTCACACCTAAACAGGATGAATTTTTTCAGGCCAGATGTTCCTATCATACCTGAAGCGTCAGACGGGAGGGATCAGACAGAAACCATGATTCAGTTATCATAATATCGATAGGTCTCCAGTTCCTGTTCTCTGACTCATTGCACTTAGATTCTAGTCGGAACTAAAGAATTAATTAATTAATCGTTCTCTTACTTAGTGATTTGATTTCTTAGCAGTGCCGTCCATCAACCTCCAATCATTACACAATCTATCGATATTTCCATACGGTATTGTTCGTTGCCCAACATAGTCACGACCTCATCGCCCATTCCATCATTCGGGATGGATAGTGGGATTCTCCTCAGATATCCCAATCTGTATTCAATTCGTAGTTTTCTGTCTCAATCTCCTCCCTTTGCTCCTCTTTTCGAGCGTAACATACAGCTTGGTTGTTATTTCACTAACTCAAGCTCGTTAACAATTAGCGTTGTGTGTGATGAACTACCTGGTGAAACCTCGTCCACCTCTGAATATAGGGCCTCCAACTAGAGCACTTCCATACAGATGAGCCAACAAACGTGTCTGGTGCGTATAATGGACTCTAACAATTGTGGTTTATTGTTTATCGAAAACAAGATCGTATTTTAGAATTTATTTAAGTGCACCAAATCTGTCCCCAAGATGGTTTCTCCACAAATCAAGAGATGTTAAAAATCCGCTCAGTGGGCGAGCGCTGAAGAAGCGCCGTCCTTAAATACAAACCCGCACTTCGCTCACCAAATAGATTTTCTTAACATCCATGTGTGTGCAGTGCGGCTTCGGGGTTCAATCAGTGCCTGTAATTTAAGCAACACCCAAAATTATTTGTTCCTCAACTCAATATATGCGCTGACTAACTGCAGTCCTGAAGCACACATACACCAGTCTTACTCGTAAAATGTATTTTCTGACGTAGTTTTACAGGCAGCTCTTTGATTGGCTGCTTCCTCCTCCCTAAAAATTGTATCATCGTGTATTCAATAAAAGGAAGTAAAAATGAAAAAGGCAGGTGAATTTACCGCACAGGTAGGAGAACTAAGTGCATCAGAAATCGATCTGTGAGGTCCTTATAGTCCTTTCTGTCATCCGAGAATGACTCCTTCAGTGTTTTACATACCAATCTCTGTTCCCACCCAGTACCAATTCTTAACAGAGCTCTCGACAGATGTCAACGTCGTGCTCCATTTGAACGGGTAAGCTAACTGAAAGTGACCACATTAAAGTAATCTACCGTTGACGTGACTCACTTCTAAATTTCAGATACTATTAGACCATCTATGTTAAATCAGTTCCCCAGTCGGCTTTGATGCGCTTAAACTCGCAGTAGCTAATCATCGCTTGTCTGATTCCTCTATGAGATAGAGCTAAGGTATAGGCTAGGTTTAGGTTGCGTGTTGAGACTAACCTCGAGAATCAATGGTGGGCCGAAATAGGCGATGAAACGGAAGTAGCCGCTGCATCAGGAAATAGTCGAAGCATGTTACTACTGATATGCAACACCAGGGTTCGGTGGATCCCGGTTGATGAAATATTCTGCAATACGAATGGACAAGCTATTCACAACAAGGACTTCACCGCGCAGCTCAGTATTCCAAGGAATAGTTCGGTTGATCTGGTGCTAACCAGAGTGATAAGAATCGACTCGAAGAATTCCTTTCGCTTATTTATCATCAAGCTTCTATATTAGCATATCATCACAGGGTGGCGACGCATGTTAGTACACACAACGAGACTGGGGTGGGAGGTTATTAAAATAGTAATCCGTTAACTGATCACAGGATTTGCTGAATTCAACCATTTCTTGGTAATTTCATCAGCTGTGTACATACATTCCGGTCACGTTCGGTTAAATAGAGTGACCGGTTTAGGGACAGACGACCACACACGGGGAAGAGAAATCAATCAATACGAAGGCCAATGGTCACTAATTCCTAACCGGATTAGGCATTGGGGCAGAGAGCGAAAGCACTGCAGGGTGAGTGAGTGAGGGGGGGGGAGAGAAGGACAGTGACACCTACCAGCGCACGAATTCGCTCTGTTTGCATAACTCGGGCTTGTAATGTCCATTGGCTGCTGCCTCAGCCAACCGTATTAGGCGCCTGCTCTTCTGGCGGATCAAGACACGAAAGGCGTTCCAAGGTTTGTTTGCAATCCAGTATATGTCGGGCGATTGAATTGGACGGAAGCTTGCACCCGTTAGACACCGAATTCTTCGGTGCATACTCTACTATCCTGGTAGACAATCGTCTCTCAGTTCTTTCGGCGTACTTAACACCGCAAGTATATTGAAATAGGTAATGTTTCACTGGAACAGATTATCCTGACTCTAGAGAACCAACTCTTCACAAACGATCGTTTGTATTGTATTGGACAGAAACTTCTAATACTAAGATACTGTCCCGTTCAAGTCAGCTTGTGAAATATAAATCTCATTAGAAATCCCTCCTCTTTTTTCATCAATTTAACATCCAGGAACTGGAAGGACGATTCGGATTCGTGCTCCACCGTGAATTTAATATTCAGATGTGAACGGTTGAGTTTTCTATGCGTTGTCATTCAGTACGACAACTATCATCCACGTAACGGCCGTATAAGTGTATTCTTAATACAAAGTCACCGGTTCATATTCTCCAAGTTTTCCATGGCGATATCAGCCAGGACCGATCCTAGTGGACTACCCATTACAAGTGCTTCAACTCTACGATAATAATCTCCGTTAAAGCAAAACTGTACATCTTTAGTACGTAGAAAGCATAATTTTCGAAGACTATGTGTTGGAATATTGAATTCCTCGGTATACGAACAGACAACGTCCACAGTTTCACAAAGAGGAATATTAGTGAACGAGGAACAAACATAATATGAGACCATGTGTTCATGAAAAACGTTAAAATCGCTGGGTTTTTTTCAACAAAATCAAACGAGTCTTTC